CCAGAGATAAATGTTGACCTCCACAGGTGCTGGAGGAGCCCCTGGCACATGACAGCCATAACCTTCCTAGTGGACAGCCCCATCGGTCAGCTGCGTCTAGGGGCGATGCCCAGAGCACTGAGACATTTCTCTTCAGTCTCTCTCTTCCTTATTTTCCTCACTGCCCTCCAACCTCACCACAGTTGGCCCCCAGGGCCCGGCTTCCCTTGTTCAGAGGGAAGATGACCTGTGCTGTGTCAGTCTGTGGTAGCAGGAAGCAGACCCCATGGTGAGGGAGGATATCTGGCATAGAGGGAGTAAGAATGAGAAAACCCGGGGTCAGTTCCTCCCTTGCTGCTTACCAGTCACCTGTCTTTAGGGAAATCTGAAAGTACTGCGACTTTCAGTGTCCCCATCAATGATGTTGAGATGTGTACCTCATCCCACCTGATCACCGCGAAGGATGTAGGAGCTGTTAGTTATAGAGACCTTTGGAAAACTGGGAAGTGCAAACACATAGGGTTGTTTTCATTAATCCAAAGACCCGCCCATGGATAGTATTAGTGTTTCCTGGTCTTAGTGTATTATATAGTCCTTGTAATAGGACTGTATAATAGTCCTACTACAGGAATCTTGTCTTATCCTGACTTCCCTCCCTCTTTCAAAAAAAATCTTAATTTTTATTTGACATCTGAGTTTACATATTTATGGGGTACAATAATGATATTTAATACCTGGGTACAATTTGTAGTGATCAGAGCAAGGTATTTGGCATATCCATCACTTCAAAGTTTTATCGTTTCTTTGTTTTGGGAAAATTCAGAATCTTCTGTATAGCATTTTTTGGGGAGCAGGGGATACCAGGGATTGAACTCAGTGGCACTTGACCACTGAGCCACATTCCCAGCCATATTTTGTATTTTATTTAGAGACAGGGTCTCTCTGAGTTGCTTAGTGCCTTGCCATTGTTGAGGCTGGCTTTGAACTCGAAATCCTCCTGCCTCAGCCACCCAAGTCACTGCGATTACAGGCATGTGCCATCGCAATCGGCCCATGCCAGCAATTTTTGAATCTATAACTAATTAATTAATGTCAATCATAGTTACCCTCCTGTTTTATGGACCATGAGACATTATTCCCCCTATACCCACCAATGTCACTTTGTCCCTTCATTTCCTTTTTTCTGGCTTTTGTGGAAGGAGTTGGTAATATTTGACCCATAAAATACTACTCAGGCTACAAATATCTTTTATTATTTTAAAATGTTTCCTGATTTGCTATTGTAAGTGGATTATTTTAGCAAATGCCTCTAAAATATCCATTAATTCAATCATACAGTTTTTCTATGCTAATCTCTTTACTAGGTTCTTAATATTGAAACATCTTTATATTCTTAGAATGATCTCTTCTGTTATTTCTTCACGGCACTTCTAGATGTAAAATTCTGCATCTTTGTATGTATATGTGGTATATCAATATGGCATATATATATGTTGTATGTATGTGTGTAGGTCAATAAATATGGTTACATATACATTAGTAGTATGCTGATCCTATAAAGGGAGAAAATGAGCTAGATAGACTCCCCATCTTTTCCTAGGCTCCGAGACAGTGTGTGAGTGTGTGTGTGTGTGTGTGTGTGTGTATATATATATATATATATATATATATATATATATATATATTTCTTTTCTAAAAACCTGGTAGAATCTACTAGAAATGCCCTCTGGACTGGCTGCCCGTTTTAGAGGTAGATCTTTAAGTATCTCTTATTTTTGTTATAGTTATGATTCTGTTCAAATTTCCTACTTTTCCTCAGATGAATCTTTATATAGTTAATATTTTCCCAGTAAAACAGTTTGCTTTATCGAGGATTTTTAAGCTGTTGCCATAAAGATAAACATTCTTACAGTTTTTGACTCACAACTTTGTCTTTTTTCCTCTCCTTTCTTCTTGACAGGCGGCCGTAGGTTTGCTGTACCACTGTTTCTTTCCAAGAACCAATTTAATCCCTCAATCTATTGTCTTTTCATTTCCCATTTTTATTAATAATTACTCTCTCTCTCTCTCTTAATTCCTTCCTTCAGCTTTCTTCAGAATTATTTTGTCTCCCCCACCCCCACCCCTCTACCTTCCTGAGTTAAAAGCTTGGTCGATTCATCTATCCTCAACCTTTCTGATTTTCTGCCACAAGCACATAAACCTGTATATTTTTTCTCTGAACGCCGTCTTCGTCTATCCCATGGGTTTTGATATGTATGTATTGCTGTTACTGTGATTCTGTTCTAAGGTGCTTAGAATTTGTTTTTATTTCCTTTCAAACCTAAGATTTATTTTGTAGAATGCTTAAAAACATCCAAGAGGGTAGATTTTGGTTGGTTATCATCCTTTCTTGGTTTTTTCTAATTCTATTCCATTATAGTTCATAAATATGTACTGTTAGCGTCTTACTCTTGGGAATTTGTTGTGATTCTTTCTGTGGCTTAATACATTTAGGGAATGTCTCATGGAGTTTGAAACAATATGTAATTCCTGTGGGGCAAAACTTGTTTTCCTATGTATATTTTTTAGATTATAAACATTAATGCTATTAGGGCTTGCTGAGCCTCATTCATTTTTATCATATTTGATCAGCCAGTTTCTGAGAAATGTGTTTAAACTCACTCGAGGTGAGGACTGGTCAGCATCTCCTAGTGTAGCCATCAGGGTTGTCCTTATAGACTGTGAGACTAAGGTTGTGAGACTAAGGGGTTGGATGCATAAGCTTTTATGACTCATATTTGGTGGATTATAATTTTAATTATGATGTGTCTGTTCAGGGGTTTTCATTTTTAACTTATTTTGTGGGAAACAAAGATTGTGAATATCACCTGGTGGGCCTTTCCCTCTCCTTCCCATCTCTGTTTCCAGCCTTCCTGTGCCATTTTCCATAAATGTGGTTACTCGTTGACCTTCTTTCTGGGGCAGCGGAAGTGGTCATAGGATCCCCACAAATCCATGCTGTCCCTACCTAGTGATGGAAAGTGACTCCCTGTTAAGGATTATTTCTCCAGTCCTCCTGGTGTGACCCTGTGATGATTCTCAGCAATGAAATGTCAGCAGTTGTGATAGGAATCACTAAAGACTTATTTTCTCTGCTTAGGTTGGATGATCACTCAGTTGGAGATGATTTTGCAGAGAGACAGAGGAAGCAGAGGGCAGCTTCAATTTGCTTATTTTGAGCCCCGGATGATCTAGGGGACCAGAGATGTCTGAGTCATGGTGGTGCTGCCAGTGACTTGCCTGATGTTTGTCTTCTCCATAACTATAAGGGCCCTGCCTACCGAGTCAGCCATTGGTCTCACTAAAACTTGGCATATAACAGCCACTTTATTACTATTTATTGCATGAATAAATGAAGTGCTGGCTCTCTTTTCTTTCATATTTACTTTCTGGTGAGCCTATGAACTGATTCTTTTTCTTTCTTTTCTTTTTTTTTGGTACTGGGGATGGGACCCCATCTACTAAGCCACATGCCCAGCCCTATTTTGTATTTTATTTAGAGACAGGGCCTCACTGAGTTGCTTAGTGCCTTGCTTTTGCTGAGGCTGGCTTTGAATTCGTGATCCTCCTGCCTCAGCCTCCCTAGCCGTTGGGATTAAAAGCGTGTGCCACCACGCCTGGCTTCAACTAATTCTTTTAATAAGTGAATCTCTGCTTAAACCAGGATCTGGGTTCTGTTGCTATAATAAAATTCCAGAGGATGGGAGCTTTATAAAGAAAAGATATTTATTTGGTTCCTAGTTCTGGAAGTTCAAGAGCACAGGGTTGGCATCAGCTTAGCTCTGGTGAAGCCCTCATGGTATATGACATCATGATGGCAGTAAGGTGTACATGAGTGGCAAATGGTACACATGGGAAAGGGATTCAGGGAAGGTGTCAGCCTCCCTTATAATACTCATTCTCATGAGAAAAAATCCAGTCCCATGAGACCTGCATTAGTCTCTTTCAGGGGTGGTGTCCTGTGAACTACCTTCTACTAGGCCCCAACTCTTAAAGGTTTTACCACCTCTCACATACCACCACACTGGGGACCCAGCTTTTAGCACACAAGTCTTTGGGGGACAAACCACAGCATCAGGCCATGATATTTCTTAATAAGAACCCAAAACAATGAATCAGGGAGTGAGGCCAGAGGAAAGGAGGAACTCTCTGTGTCTTTAAGCTGTGTGTTGTGTAATAAAAATCTAGACAACCTGTGAATGAGAATAATAAAAAGAAGTCACATATATTAGTAATAACAAAAACCACTTGTCTGAGTGCCTGTTTTGTGTTAGGAACCAAACCGGGCCTTTTTCATACATTCTCTCCATGAATCTCCATGGCAGCTGCCATGAAGATTTTATTCTTGCTATTTTATAGGTGAATCAACTGAGGATCTGTGCCCAAGAATGGGGAATAAGTATGTGGCAAGGTCAGAATTCAAGTCTGCATCATCATCTTCACCCCAGCTTCAGTTTCTACTATCCTGTATAAAAAGAATCAGCATTCTGGGGTTCAAGGCTCAATCGTGTGATTTTTAAGAAGTCATTTAATTTCCCTGAGCCTCAGTGTCCTTGCCCGGGGAATGGGGATAAAGATGGTACAGATTCTCAGTCCTTCACAGGATTTTTGTGAAGAACACCTGGGGCTGGGTAATCATAATGTTTTGCAAACAATCACCCACTGCAAATATTGCTTATTTTAATGGTGTACAGGAGAAGCTCACCTTAGTCTTTAAAATTCCAAGGCTGGCTATAAGATTTTTGACAGGCAACCTCTCAAAATTTTCAGAGGAGAAATGATGCTTGAATGTCTCACGAGAGCCATCTCATGCGATATTGTCTATTTTAAGTATTCAACTTTCTCTCTGGTGTTATTTGTAGGTGGGCCAACATGCACCAAGTTTCTGTTCCTCAAATCAGCTTTTTAATTTGCATTAGGTAGAAGTATTGTACAAACTTATTTTATTATTGCCAAGCTTTTTATATGCCTTTGCTGAGAGGGAATGTGGGGATGCTGGAAAAGGCCTTGATGGGAGTCCTGGGGATGGAGCCCTGGCCGTGGTACTTAGCAGCCATGAGAACTTGGTGAGCTACTTCCCCTGCCTGCTTCCCAGGTCCTCATTTCTTCAAAGCAATGTAGAGGGCTCTTTTCATAAGGACCCTCTCATTGCGAGACTTGAAAATGACTGCAAAGAGCAAGGGCCTAGGTTTGATCCCTAGCACCAAAGTACAAAGCAAACTAAAGTTGTTCACAAAGAGTCTTGGGTCATTGCGTTAAGCACAACTGAACACCTGCTGTCAGTGTGTGCATCTCAGCATCGCGGCCCGCGGTGGAATCTATATTGAGTTAGGTCTGGATGATTCTTTCCTTCTCTTTGCTTTAACACTTCTTAACCTACAATTGTTTGTTTATGACAGCCGTCCCCTCCTTTTCATTCTACGGGTGCAGGTGAGATGCAAATATGCGTTTTGAGCTGTTGGCTGGTTGCAGTTGACAGATGGGAGGCTGAAGAAATGAGGAAGTACATCGTGGAGCTGGCGGCTCTGCAGGCAGGAGGGGTGAGTGGACACCCTAGAAAAATGGGGCCAACAGCTGGGCGAGATGGAAAGAAGATTGGGCTCCAGGAAGAGGACTGGGAGAAGGGCCTGCCCCAGAGGTCTGTGACTCAGGTACTGAAAAGAGCAGTCAGCCGACTGGGTGTGGATGGGCTCACATTAGGGATTTTTTTTTTGTTGGGGAGGGGGTACTAGGGACTGAACTCAGGGGCAATCAACCACTGAGCCACATCCGCAGTCCTTTTTTTTTGTATTTTATTTAGAGACAGGGTCTCACTGAGTTGCTTAGCACCTCACCATTGCTGAGGCTGGCTTTGAACTCAGGATCCTACTGCCTCAGCTTCCCGAGTTGCTGGGATTAGAGGTGTGGGCCACCATGCCCGGCTGATACCAGGTTTAAAAGAAAAAGTCAGGCCTTGCCATTCTTCTGCTCAAAACTCTTCAATGGATTGCCATCTCATTTAAAAACAAAAGAATCTGGAGTTCTTGCTCCACAAGGATTCCATGGTCCAAGCTTTGCTATTTCTTCTTATTTTCTTTAACTCTTTTCCTTGCACCCATGGACCAGAAACACTGATGTTCTTAGATTTTTTTTTTTTTTCTGCCATGTCTTGGATCAAACCCAGGGGCTTGTGTCTCCTAAGTAACATCTCCAGCCTCTTGGAGTTCATAGCAGGTGCTGGGTTCTGCCTTGGAAACACCCTTCCCTTTGTTCAAGCCTCTGCTGCCATTTTGCCCTCTCAGAGGTCTTCTATGATGGGGCCAGCCACACTCCAGGCTTTCTTCCTCCCTTGTCCGAATTATTTTCCCTGTAGTGCTTCCAGCCTCTGGACCTTCTGTTGTGAATGGGACTGTTTGAAGTCTGTCTCCTCCACGGGTATGTGAGCTCCTCAAGGACGAGGGGCGGTGCTTCGTTCTGCATGGTGTGCCGTGTGCATCTTGACTGACACAGTGTGGGATGAATGAGTGGAGGGGTGAAGGAACGAAGAGATGGGAGCCAAAGTGATGTCAGATGTGTTGGAACTGTAAACTCTGGGAACGGCTCCTGGCTCCTGGGACTCTCCTTGGACTCTTGTTCCCCCACATCTCAAAGTTCTACTTTTCCCACAATTTCACAGAGAATTTTTGGTTGGATAGATGCATTGAGAAGGAAAGGGAGGTGAGGGGCAGAGGGGCAGGACCCAAGGGAAGAGTTTTCTCCAGCAAAGATGCTGTGGAGGAGACCAGCCTAATCCCTGCTGGAGAGCGCCCAGCGCCAACAGGTTGTGCCGGGGCCTTGCTGGCTTGGTTCTGGACAACAGAAGAAGGCCTAATGAGGAGGCCAAGCAGTAGATGCTGGGCTCTTCCCCAGTCCAGCAGTGTTAGGACTGGTGGAGGTCTGTCCCAGGGAAGGGGAGGACACCATGGACCAGTAGAAAGGACATGTCAGACTCGTGAAATCTTAAGCAGAACGCCAGTTTTTCACTTATTTCTGAAAAACTTAGAAAGGTATGATCCTCATCCATTAGCTAAAATATGTGTGGACTTCAAAAATCAGACCATCTAGATGATCAATAATTATTTCAAAGTAACTCAGTGACTCATCCTATCCCTCCCTCCATGCCTCACCCCCCTTTTCTTGTGGTGATGGGGATCATGCATGCTGAGCAAATGCTCTACCATTGACCTGCACCCCCAGCCTTGGTTCATTCTTTTCTGAACACCAGGAAGCATGTCATCACCAACAGCAGCCCTATCCCTCTTTTCTCTCTCCCACTCACTGCAGATGTACACCAGCATATCCACACTGTATGTGCTACTCACCTGTTAGTCGATAGCTGTCTCAGTTATTATATCAACTGTCCGGGTATCACAGTGCTTATTATATTCAAGTAATCCTTATTTTGCTTAATAATTGTCCCAAAGTGCAAAAGTAGTAATGCTGGCAATTTTATTACAATATATGTTACAATTGTTCTATTTTATTTTTAGTTATTGCTATTAATCTTTTACTGTATCTAATTTATAACTAAACTTTATCATAGATGTGTATACACAAGAAAAGATACAGTATATATATAGGATTTGGTAATAGCTACAGTCTCAGGCACCTGCTGGGGATCTTAGAATGTATCTCTTGTGTATAAGTCATCTTTCCATGTGTTAGTCATCATTCTATGACTATAACAAAATGCATGTGATAATTAACTTATAAAGAGAAGAGGTTTATTTTGTTTCTGTTGCTCTGGGCTTGTGATGAGATGGCACATCATGGTGAGAGCATAGGGCAGAGCAAAATCAGTCTCCTCATTGCTAGGAAGCTAGAGAAAGAGGAAGGGGCCAGGGTCCCACAATCACCTTTGAGGACCTGTTCCCATCATCTGAGGCCTCCTCATTAGGCCCCACCTTTGAAAGCTCCCACCACCTTTCAATAGCTCCACCCTGGGGACCCAGATTACCTCTCAGAGCAGAGAGGCAGATGGCTTCCCGTGTACCTTGCTTTCCCTCTGCTGAGGCTGCCCCAGATCACACAGGAATGGGTCAGAATCTCAGAGTCCATGAATAGGAATGGATGCTTCTCCCAGAGACAGTCTCTGATGCACAGGAGAGGCACACCTGGGTGCTGGGGAGAGGGTGCCCAGCAGGAGGGGGAGGCCAGAAGGTCTGTGGGCTGAGAGGGGCAGTGAAGGGGAGCAGAGTTCGCCAGCCAGGCATGGACACTCAACCATGCAGGACAACTGTGTGAACCTTGACTCCACGTGTGCGGCATGGTGGCTGGAGGGGAGACTTGTCCCTGACCCGGGTTAAGCTGAACATTCCCTCTGAGCTAAGGTGACAGCCACAGCCATGGTGGCCCTCAAATGTGAAGCTGCCATTTGCCCTTCCCCTGAGAACCCTGCCCATTGCTGCCTCTTCTGCTGGGAGGTCCCAGCTGTACCATCACCTGTGCTGGTGATGGCTGCTCCGTGGAAGCGTTCCCTGGTTACGGACTGAGGACTGACGGATGTTGTGGTCATTCCTGGTGTTTGGAGGCATGGGAACACTGCTGCAGAGCACCTGCTGGCCCAGCTCTCCTTGTGCCCGTGGGTGGGAGGGTGTTATGGACTGGATGTGTCCCCTCACCCCACGGGCTCCATCCCACCCTGCCAAATTCTAATCCCCAACGTGATGGTATTAGGAGGTAGTGGCCTTTTGGAGGTTACAGGTCCTAAAAGTGGAAACCCCATGAATGAGATTTGCACCCTTATAAAAGGGACCCCACAGAGTTCTCTCATCCTTCTTCCTCTTTCCACCACGAGGACCTATCGTGAGTGGTTGGCTGTGACTTGGAAGAGTCATCACTAGAACTAGAACATATTGGCACCCTGATCTTGGACTTCCAGCCTCTGGAACTGTGAGGAACAAGTTTCTATTGTTTCATGGCCAGCCTTTGGGACTTTGTTATAGTGGCTTGAGCTGGCTGGGGACAGAGCTTCCTGAAGTCACAGCTCTGGGTTCTCATGTGAGCTCTGCTGTTGTCTACAAATTAAAGACGTTCTCTAAAAGCATCCAAGATAGACCTTGTCAGAACATCCACCTCTGCACTTGGATTCCCACGGATTTACAAGGGTTGTTCACGAACACATTTCTTTTCCTCACTAAAGGGGGATATTATAGCAATTCCTGAAATCAGTTCCTGCTGGGGGGTCCACGTTTCTCAGAGCGGTTGGTACTCCAGGAGGGAGAAGATCTGATATAGACCTGAGGGCGGATGAGGATGAGGCCATGTCCTTGGTGCAGGGGGCTGGCCAGGTCTGCAGGGGGAGATGTGGCCTCTCAGGAAACCTGTCTGCCCTTTCTGCCCTTCTCCCCGGGGGCCGTTTTGTTGACTTGTGTAGGAGGTAAAGGAAGCCAACGGTTTGGGGAAAGTCCTGCTGATACAAAACCAACCATTTCAAACTTAGTTTCCAGCTGTCAGCAGGAAGCACCATACGGGCTGGTTGTGTTCAGACCTGCCTCCAGCCTGATGTGAAGAACAAGTTGTCACCTGTTCTTGCTCATAAGCAGCTCAACATTTATGTCTAGTTTTATAGGTGCCAAGGGCCCATTTCCGTTCATTACCTGCTATGCCACACAACAATTCTACCAGGGCAGATAATGACGCCCAATTGACAGACAAGGGGAATTGGGTTTGAAGTGTGTGGTACCTTTCCCAGAGCTAGCTCCTTTCCACCGAATCAAGGGAACATGTTGCAATTCCCAAGTCATTGACTCTTAGGTGCCTTCTAAGCACTGTGAGTGGGGTTGGTGTAAACCAACTCATAACGCAGGGGTTCTTTCCCCCCGGAAGCATGCTCCCTGCTAGATCTAGGGGCCTCTCTAGGAAGGTCCCTGATGATGGCCTCTGCTCTGGTATCCATGTTAACCTGGCAAGGGGCTTCTCCCCTCGGCTATGGCCAAGCAGATTCAAGGTGAAAGATATGAAGAAAGGGAATGTTCATATAGAGGGGGCGGGCAACAAGTTAATCCAATCATTTCAGAAACAGCTTGTGAGCATCTAGGACAGCTGGAGCACACTGCCACCTGGAAGCCCCTGTGCAGGTACCAGGCCACACACATAACTCCCTTGGAGGCTTCTTTTCATTCCTTTTTTTTTTTTTTGTGGTGTTGAGGATTGAATCCAGGACCTTGTGCATATGAGGCAAACACTCTACCAACTAAGCTATGTCCCCAGCCAACTCTTTCTTTTCTTTTCTTTCTTTCTTTTTTTTTTTGTTACCTGGAATTGAATCCGAGGGTGCTTAACCACTACACTGAGACATCCCCAGTCTTCCTTTTTTTTTTAAAAAAATATTTTGTTTAGAGACAGGGTCTCACTAAGTTGCTTAGGGCCTCGCTGAGTTGCTGAGGCTGGCTTTGAACTTGCGATTCTCCTGCCTCAGCCTCCCAAGCTGCAGGGATTACAGGCATGAGCCACTGTCACTGCACCTGGCTCTTTTCTTTCTTTCTTTCTGGAATTGAACTCATTTTTTTTTTTAGTTTTTGGCACCAGGGATTGGACCAGGGCACTGGACCACTGAGCTACATCCCCAGCCCTTTTTGGTTAGCAAGTGGATGAAGAAGTGTGGGATGTGATCGCAGTGCAGACTGCAGGGCTGAGGAGCCGTGAAGATGAATGAACTGGGGTCAACACCTCACTATAGGTATCTTCAGCACCTGAAGTTCAATAAAAAAAGAAAGTCTCAGAGAAACAAGCACAGTGGAACGCCATCCATATAATGCTCAGAAATCCACAAACTAAGAGTACCTCCAGGGAGCATACGAATGGAGTGAAACTTGGAGTGAAACTACTGAAATAAAGGAGGGAGGGCTAAATGCCCAAACAGAAGGAGTGGTCTCCTTGGACAGGGAGGGAGGGCCAGAGGCCAGGGAGGGATCTGCATGAGCTTCTGCTGCTTGGGTGATGTTTGATTTCTTGAACTGAGTCGTTGGTCCCTTAGGATTAGTTCTGTTATTATTCTTTAACTTTTGCATCTAACAGCGCCCGCGCGCGCGCGCACACACACACACACACATAATGTGCCTATATATGTAGTGTGTAGGAATATCTATATATGCAGACATACGTATATACATTTGTTCTTGATTTTGTATGAATTAATTAGTATTGGAAAAATACACAAATTAAACCACTTCTGTGAGACTCGACCCTTTCCCAGAGCACCACACTTTCCTGCCTAACTTAAAGGCCCTTCGCATTCTGTCCCCTCCAGACTCTTAACATCAGCCACACTAACCTTGCATTGTGTCAGGGACTGTCCTGAGTGCCTTATGTTATCCCACCATATTTAATTCCAATAACAACTCTGCAAGACAGGAACTAACTACCATCATTCGTATTTTATGTGTGCGGACACTGAGGCCCAGAGAGGTGAACTGAACAGGTCAAGTTCGTGCGGCTGCTAGGGGCAGAGGCAGTGCCTGCGCCTGTATGGTCTGATGGGAGAGTGCGAATGCCGGACGGGTCGTCCTCTGGCTTTCCCTCTGTCTGCTGGTGCCTTTCCTCTCACCACTTCACGACCTTCCCACCAGGCCTTACCGTGTGTGCTTCTTGGATACAGAGTATCGCGACCACGAACTTCTACTTAAACAAGGGTCAAACAAGTGGGGCAAACTCTGAATCGTAACACTCACTCTCAGAGCGTTACCATTCTCTTCCCCAATCCTACAACCTTTCTAGTTGTGTCAAGCAACCTGGCTCTGGTTTATATATGCCCAGTTTGGTTTAAGGATGTCTCTGGGAAATGGGAAGAAAGTTTTGTGAGCTGGTCTCTATTCCTCAATGAGATGTTAAATTCCTTGTGGGCAGGGACGAAATCCTGGGCTCCTTATGCCTCCTTTCATCCCCAGGTGTGAATATGGTTCTTGGTAAGTTCCTAAAACATGGAGAAAGGAGCAGGTAATTTGAGAGCTCTAAGACTACAAAAGTATTGGCACAGGAACTTGGGCCTTCAAAGCCTTGTGTTCGGGGGTCCCTGGGCACATCCAACTTTGCAAGAGGTGCTGTTTCTCACCCATGTGAAGGACAGAGGTTTAGAACTTCTGCCTGAAGCAGGGGAGAAAGACCTTTAGTGACTTGGGGTTCAATCTCCCCACCCCCAAACCCTCCAACAGGCTGTGTTGCCTAAGACCAAAATGCATCAGCACCCCAGCAGGTGAATTTAACTTCAGCCTCTGTGGACTCAGAGAACTTGCCTGTCTACTGCCTTGTCTGCCTCTGAGAACCCACTGTGCTCTTGTCTAAGGAGCTCAGGAGAAGATGGCGTTGTGCACACGTTTGTGGAAAACAATTTTGAGGGTTGGTGAAATATGTTCCACTTGATCCCTCTCTTGGGTAGTTAAAGTGAAGGGAGCATCTTCCTTTTTCAATCTCATTCCTTTAAACCCTCTAAGGTTTCCCCATTTATACCAAATTAATGCCATGTAACTATAAGCCATTAATATAACCCAAAATGTAATTCATCTCTCTATTCTTCCTCCTGCGTTAATGCTCTATTGCTGCTATAACAAATTATCACAAATGCCATGGCTTAAACCAGCCCCAGCTCATTATCTGACGGTCTTGGAGGTTGGAAGTCTGATGTGGGCCTCACGGAGCTGAACTCCCTCTGTGAGGAAGATGCAGAACAGATTCTTCCTCTCTCCAGCCTCTGGAGACCTCAGCTCTTGCTCCTTTCTCCACCTTCAGCATCCTGACTTCCATGTCTCTTAAGGACACATGGGATTAAATTGGGCTCATCTGGATAATCCAGGATCACCTCCCTGCCCCAACATCCTTGATTGTAACCCCTTCTGCGAAGTCTCTTTGCCAGGTAAGGGAACATATCCACAGGTTCTGAGGGTAAGGGCATTAGTGTCTTTGGGAGCTGAGTCTGTCTACCACATTCTGCTAATTTTTAGGAAGAGTTTGAGGAATGAGGTAGGGAAGTGATTGTGTGACCAGGAAACGTGATGTATGCAAGTCAGCTGTGTCCCGCAAACTCACCATGTTTCCCTGAAAGTCCTAAGTCAAGAAAAGCTGCAGGGAAGTTTGAAAGGAAGGGGGTTTGGGGGAAGCTGTAGTCATCCCCTCTTGAAGTGTTCCGATGGGTGGTGGATTGTCATTCCAGAGGAAACGTTGGCTGGTATGTGGAACATATTTGCACTCCTTGACATGAATCTTGTTCTTCTCAGTGACTGTTACAGAGTGGGGCAGACTGGAAGTGTCTGGGACCTAGAACCAGACCAATGGCCAGGATGAGGCAGGTCCCTGGCAAATGCTAAGGAAGGGTCTAAGGGTCAGCACGTCTAGTGGGCATGCAAAGAATGGCTACTGGAAATCAGGGGCAGATGTCTCTGTGCCCAAAGGTTGGGTAGTCCAGCAGCAGTCTCAGGGAAGCCTGTGGAACAGGACTCTGATCCTTAGGAAAGGCGGGTGTTGTAATTTGAATCTTAAATATCCTCCAAAGATCTATGTGTTAAAGGTTTGTTCCCTGGGGTGGTGGCTTTGAGTTTGTTTCCCAGGGGGGTGGCTTTGGGAGGTGGCAGATACTTGAGGAGGTGGTGCCTATTGAGAGATTTTAGGTCATGGGAGTGTGCCCTTTGAGGAGTTGCAGGACCCCAGTCTCTTCTTCTTTGTTTTATACCTCAACCATGAGGTAAGCAGATTTGCTCCACCATGTACTCCTGCCATGATGATCCTTGCCACAGGCCCAAAAAGCAATGGGGCCAACTTATCATGGACTAAAACCTCTGAAACTGTGAGCTAAAATAAACCTTCTCTCTTTATAGGTTGATTGTCTCAGGTATTTTGTTATAGTAACAGATAATGAACTAACACAAGTGCTGTAAAACTAAGACAGAACCAAGACCTTGAAGAATACTGATGCAAGACCCAAGACTGAGACAAGGACAGGCTCAGAGAACATTGCAGAAGCTGGGATTATAGGGGCAGATCATGGCAGTGCCCCTCAATGGTGGGTCTTTGTCACTGTAGAGAAAGTACAAGCCTGTACGGTGTTTGCACTCAATTCTGCATGGAATGGGACTTCCTTAAATACTTCAGGGTGTTTGCCATCCCTGGTTCCTTCCTCATAGATGCCAGGAACCACCCTAAGCCGTTTTACCAACCACAGATGCTCTCAGACAGTTGTAAATGTCCCCTAATGGGTTCACAATGCTCCTGAGCCTAGGTGGTAAGCCAGCCAGGCCTAGGAGTGAGCAAAGAGGCATTAGTGTTGTTGAGAAATGGATTTTTTCGAGGCTTCTGTGTGCAGTTCCTCTATTCTCCCAGCCATCTCCCTTCTTCCTTCCTTCTTCTCAACACTGCCCTGTTTTCTTTTCCACGACATCAGCACCAGCTGAGAACCTGCTGTTTTCTGTGGGTGGTTGCAAGAGGACCCTAGATGACTTTCCTTCCTCCTGCCCCTCCCTCCCCTCAGTGGGGCTCTGCATGCCTCCTGGATCATCCTCAAAGCTCAGGTCTCATCATCTCTGCTATTGTCCAGTTAATGAGTCCTCTGGGGTCCTCCCAGCCAGCCCACTGAAGGCCAGGTTTGGCTGGTGCTAGGGCCTTCAGCCAACCTTGCCGGGCCCCCTCCAGCTCTCGTTCCAGCCCTGGAGTCTATGAGGCTCTTGGTTTTAATGGTCCCTTCTACCTGGCACACCTTTTGTCACTTCTTTCTGCAATCTCTACGTCACCGAGTTTCTCCCTATGTTATGGTTTAGATATGAGATGTCCCCCCACCCCAAAAGCTCATGTGTGAGACAATGCAAGGAAGTTTAGAGGTGAAATGATTGGGTTATGAGAGCCTAGACCTAATCAGTGCATTAATCCACAGACAGAGATGGACTGGGTGGTGACTGTAGGCAGGTGGGGTGTGGCTGGAGGAAGTGGGTCATGGAGAGACGTGCCTTTGGGACATATATTTTGTCTGTGGTGAGAGGAGTCTCTCTGTCTCTCTCTCCTTCCTGGTGCCGTGTCCTGAGCTGCTTTCCTCCACCACCCCCTTCCATCATGGTATTTACCTCACCTCTGGCACCCAGTGATGGAGCTGGCCATCTATAGATTGAGACCTCAGAAACCGTGAGCCCCCCACATAAACTTTTCCTTCTCTAAAATTGTTCTTGTCAGGTTTTTTGGTCACAGAAGCAAAAAGGCTGACTAAAACAACCTAAATCCTTCCTTTTGAGTATCTAGATCTTTTCAGGCCCAGTTTAAATGCCACTCTACCCAGACATCAGGAAAACATACCAGCTAAGTACTGATTCAATACTTTCATTTTGTTCAGTGGAAAAATCTGAGTTAATGGACAAACCACTCTGAACAGCAGAGGGCTCTTATGTACGTAGCACACGACTTTGCCTGCATTAGAGCAATACCACAGGTGTGCAAACCACTGTCACCATCCCTGTGCCTTGATAGGTATGAATTATGTCAGGTCTAGTTGCTGTGCTAATGGACACAATTTCCTGGTGCTGTTAAAAGAAGCAAAATGAGACAGAGAGTCTGGGGAAAGTGTTGTAGCAACTCTAAAGGGAGATACAAATGGAAAATATTATTATTAATCAGTAAACCCGTAGGAGCAGTAACTGCCCCTTGAGATTGCTGTAAGATGAATGTACGGAGGCTCACAGAGGTGCCACCAGCTGTGAAGTGCCACCAGCTGTGAAGTGTCACCAGCTGTGAAGTGCAGAGCAAATGCTTGTTGTTTGCTACCAACTTGCAGGGAGCACTGTTCCTCCAGCTTGTCCTCTCTCCAGAATTTCAGACCTGCATCTCTACTGCTAGGCGTGAAACCCCTCCCTAAGGTTCAATAGGCACCTCAAAATTAATGGGGCTCAAACAGAACTCTTGATCCAGTGTCCACTCAACAACCCAGGCCCCAGATCAAATCCAGGATTCTGTTCTTTTCCCCATTTTGCTAATTGAAAGCAAGACCTGCCCACTCTCCTTCCAAGGCTCATCCTGACCCTGTCCTCCTTGCTCTGTCTTCTCAGCTTCTAACCTGACAGAAGCCACCATGATTGCCAGCCTGACCCCTGCCAGGAGCCCCCTAGTGGTCCTGTCTTCCTCCTTCAATCCATTTCTCAGACAGCCAGAGTGTCCTTATAAAAGGAATCAAATCATGACACTCCCTTGTTCTGTGCCCCCTGGGGGCATGTCCATTACACAAAATAAAAATCCAGATCCTTGCCCAGGCTTTGAAGGAGCCACCTTGTCAGGTCCCTTCTGACCTTCATGGACTCCCCCGCTACCACTCTCCTTCCTGTACTCCATTCCCACCCTTTCTGTCCACACTGTGGACACTACACATGTCGGTTCCTCATTTTCCATGGCTGGCTTCCTTGATGCAGCCAATTCTCAGCTTAGATGTCACCTCAGAGAGGCCCTCGCTGATCTCCCAATCTAAACCCTCCCTACCTGAACTATCTATGAAATAATCGTCACCAACCACACCATGCAATAAACCATTGACGTTCAAATCCCGTCTTGTGATACAACTCCATTAGTAGGGTCACCAAGGTGGTGCACCATTACTTCTTTGGCATTAAACAATATAGGAAAAGAATAAAGAAAAGGTTTTTAAACATAAGCAAAAGCACAAATTGTAATAGGGATATCATAATTAAGGATATCAACCTTAATGTTGCCCTTCCACTCAACATTGATGACTCCTCTTGGTGATTTTAGAATCTGGGGGAAAATCCACACTAGATATGACTCTGGATGAATTATCCATGGAAACCAAGAAACCGATGATGAATTACCAATGTGGAATCAGAATTCTTGCTGTAGGGATGCCCCTGACACATTTCATATGTTCATTTCCATAGTTATTTATCTCCAAACATTTGCTTAGCATCTCCTCTGACAAACACAGAGGAAATCATGATAGATAAAACCAATCCCCACTCCTTTCCCCCGCATCCTCTCCACTCACCCCCTCTCTTATGTTAAATATAATCCATGAATAAATAAAACTTTCCAAGCTTCTTCTTGAATGCCTGTCTTGTTTATTTGGGAGGAAATTGCAATTACTGGGTAGTTGAACTGTCATCATTGTGACTTCAAATTAATGGGGCTCAAACAGAACTCTTGAGTTCTGTTTAACCAATGCATGGTCTTTGGGAAGATGCACCTCAGCCTTTTAAGGAGAGAATCCACTGTCCCTGTGGAAAAATCACCCAAGTCCTTACATGCCTTTTGAAGTCTTCTGGAAAATTAACAGGGCAAATAGGACTACTTGGGAACCTCCTGCCTTCAGACATCCTCCTCCTGACTCAAACGCATCTACCTTATGTCAGAGACCAGCCCCCCAAACACAGAAACTCCCTCCCCAGCCTTGCTTCCCTCTCCCTGCCCATCTCCAGTGAGAACTGGTAAATCTAAGGAATAATGTTTGATGAAGTAATTTATACACATGTATGAAGGTTGGATAATCTTAAATCCCCTCAGTTGTAATTTTCCTTTGAGAAAGAACATTAATGAACTCTATTTAGGAACAAATTATTAGGAGAATTCGTTTAATTCATATTTTAGAGCAGGATGGTGGGAGGAACCTCTTTGTTTCTTTCTGCTTACTAGCTGTGTTACCACAGGCAAGTGCTAAATTTCTCTGTGCTCAGGTTCTTGTGTGTAAAAATAGCCATCAAAAAAATACCTACTCCATAAAGCTGTGTCAGCTCATTATCATCACCACCATCACCACTATCATCACCAACATCATCACCACCACCACCACTACCAGTATCATCACTACCATCATCACCACCACCACTACCATCACCTCCACCACCACCATCACCATCATCACCACCACCACCACCATCACCATCATCACCACCACCATCATAACTACAACCATCATCACTATCACTACCATTATCATCACTATCATCACCACCACCTTCATCATCACCATTATTACCACCAACAATATCATCATCACCACCACCAGCAGTAGCCACATCATTTCCCCACCTTTCTTCAGAAGGTCTTAGAGCTAGTATTGGATTCTAATAGCATTGAATTCAATTTTAGGTAAGTTTGCAGTTTACTAATGTCTCCACCAGGGGGCAGGCCATGGAAAAGAAACATTGCCAAAGTTAAAGTTAAAGGCAAGAATTTACCCAATTCTTAACATTTTGAGCTTTATATATGTAAATTCTTCCATACTGCTCCTGACAGAAACCAGCCTTTATGTATCTGCTAGATGGTTGATTTTTGCTTTATTTCTCTGTCAGTGAGTTTCTCTTGTTCAGTGAAATGCGCATGATTTTGAATATTTGAATCCAGTATTCCCCCTTTGTTCTACATTCTAAAATATTTTGCAAACTGTGGGGAAATGAAACTTGATATGAGTCAGTTGCATTTTTTTTTCCTGCCTGAAAGCGATTTTGATTTTAGGCTTCAGACAAAGGTGAAAGACGTGCAGAACAAGATTGCTGACTCTGCAAACACCCAGCATGCAGGACACCCTTTCCTCCTCTCCTGCTCAATGATGGCATCGAGAGGGCGATTGTCCTTGCTAAGACAAAGGCAGAGAGAGAACCTTCCCAACAGGGCCCTTCAGTGAGCTTCTGGCAATCAATGGCATTTGAGATAAAACCAATTTGGTGGAATAGAGAGGGCTGGAGAGAATCTCAGGTGCAGGCACAGTTGGAATGGAAGAGTAATGTCTCGTGTTCCACAGCACCGGGCCGTGAACTGTGGTTGACAGCAATTAATTGAATGTTTTAAAATTGCTAATAGAGGCGATTTTGAATCCTCCCAAAACAGAGAAATGTTTTCTTGAGGCGATAGGTATACCGTCTACTCTTGTCTAATCACTACACATTATACACACAGATGGAAATGTCACACTGGATCCCAAAAGTATGTACAATTACCATGTGTCAATTAAACATATTAAATGTGAATTCGGGTGGAGTTTAATATATTCAACATCAATGAAGATGTTCTTCGTTCTTCTTCCATCACTCTTCATTCACAGTAGAGTGGACAGGGCATCCCATTGTAAGGATAAATGTGCAGTGATGCCTCATGAGAACAATTCTATCCCCAGAGTGTTTAGAAACCTGTGGGGTACTTTTTGGTAAGCACAGTGTTGGGGCTGTGCCTGGCACTTACTAGGTCAAACCCCAGATTGCTAGCCATCCTGCAACGTGTGGGGTTTTCCCTCATGATGAGGAATTGTCTCCTAGCCTGCATTATTTTTGAATGTTTTGTTGGTCATTCATGTAGATGAAAAACCTAATGATAATAATCTCATGCCAGACCTGAACTCCATTTTCTATCTAACAAATTATTATTTTATTAACTTAAATTTATTTTTATTCACTGTATAAAACATTAAGTCATACATATTTATGGAAAATCATGTGACGTTTCCATCTGCTTGTTACATTATGTAACATTGAAATCAGGTTTAATGCAAATTGTATTGGTACCCTTTTAATATTCCAGGTGTATAACTACCAGATAAATTGAAACAATGTTGTGTTCACGTTTCTGAAAACTGCCTCGGATTTGAGTTGCTGGTTGGCATGCACTGGTCGCTGTCCAGTTCACAGGGAGTTGACAGGTGAAGGCAGGCATGTGACTTCTTATGGATGTCTCCATTTAGACAGGCATGAGCACTTACACAGATGTGTGGCCATCAGGATGGTAAAATATGTGGTTCAAGTATTTTATCTTTAAAGAGGGTTCACTGATATAGACAAAGGGTTGCTTTTCTTATTTCTGTTGAGGTGGGTGTTGGAGGCACTGTGTGCC